CAGACAAAGAGAAATGTCTGCCATCTGTGCAGAAGATATATATATATATATATAAATTGTTGGTATTAGATGATTGTAGGCAATTGGCCACAGGAAGCCTTGGATTTAGGTTTCGTGCTAGTTGGTACTCACCAGTCAGCAAGGCGTATCTGTATCCTTGAAGGAACTCATGTCCCCTCTGAGATTCGAGCCCACTTCACCCAGTTCTGCAGTCAGAAACGTTACCACTGAGCTAATTAGACTCGCAATTGACCTCCTGTAGGAATGCATTGAATATTTTTGATTTGACACTAGTCAGTAACTAGTGTAATGTGTGTGTATGTCCAGTCCTATCTTTGATGCAGACTGAATTCTACCAGTGCATGTGAATGATAACCTACCTAGTAAGGCCAATTCAGTGTGGATCTATAAATTTGACTGCTCTTGTGAAGGAGACAGGTTCATAGGTAGAATGACTCAGAAAGCCTACCATCGCCTTCTTGAGCATTGTTCAACATGGTTGGGTAGAGGAGTCGTAAAGTCAATCAGAAGTCTTATATTGGCACATTTTGTCGATGCGGATTGATAAAAAAATTCAGATTTCACAATTCTATACAAGGTGCCACCTCAATTCCCTATGTTTTTAAGCCTTTTTGACTGATGAGCTTAGCTGAGGCAGTCGCCATAAAAGACATTCAGCCCAGTCTCTGTGTTCAGAAACAGTTTAGGCATTGGTTTTTTAGGGATTTGACTGATTGGTTACAGGATTTCATCATGAGCTGACATCGGTTTACTCAGTCCCTCTCCTTTCCACAGCCTTCATCCCCAACCTAGAATAGTTGTCTCTCCCAGTGACGCCAGATAACTGTGAATATTAATTTTGAATAAAGCAAGAACGATAGTTTTTGCAGAATAAAATTGTACCACCATTGTTTATTTCGCTGGATTCTCATCAACTGCTTACAGCCCATAAACGTTACTGAGTATATATATCTACAGAAACAATTTTAACATACTTGCACAGAGAGTTCATTTTTAAACAAAAATCAATCAATATATGCATACAATGTTAATGCTAATAATAATAATAATAATAATCACTTTATCCCGAACAATAATGATCATACACAATGGAAACTCTCAACATTACGTGATCAGATGAAAGAGAGTTGAAAATATACAGTTGCCAGAGCAAGGAAAGACTGATAATCGCTTCTTTCTGAACGCATAAATCGACAGATATCCTTCTCATGTTAACTCTAACTGTATATACAAATTTACATGTATCTGCGGGAGCAATTACATTGGAAGAACAGAAAGAAGAAGGGCATATCTACGATTTTCTGAGCACGTACCAAAAAAGCCTATATCTCAAGGGAACAAATGTTTTCAGCAGTGCCATCGCCAGGCGTCTCCTTGACCCGGATCATGAGGTGGACGTCATAAGATAGTTCAAAATTATCAATAGGCAAAAGAGTTCAATTCTCCTTAAGTTTGCCAAAGCAATCTCCATCAAGTGCCTGAAACCCGATTTATGCTTTCAGAAAGAAGCGATTATCAGTCTTTCCTTGCCCTGGTAACTGGATATTTTCACCTCTCTTTCATCTGGTTACGTAATGTTGAGAGTTTCCATTGTGTATGATCATTATTGTTCGGGATAAAGTGATTATTATTATTATTATTATTAGCATTAACATTGTATGCATATATTGATTGATTTTTGTTTAAAAATGAACTCTCTGTGCAAGTATGTTAAAATTGTTTCTGTAGATATATATACTCAGTAACGTTTATGGGCTGTAAGCAGTTGATGAGAGTCCAACGAAATAAACAATGATGGTACCATTTTATTCTGCAATTCAAACTGTTGTTTTTACCTTTTTTAAAATTCATTAGGGGGAATAAATGTATCAAATGCTATTTTTACTTGTACTGTTAACTGTATTACCAGTACCATACTGTGTTTGTATTTGCATATATTGACTGTGGTTTCACAATTTATCATTACTATCATTACCATTCTACTTACACTTCCTTCGATTCTTTTTCATTCTACCGATCCAAATTATTTTACAAATGTCTATGAATGATATTTCATTATGTAATTGTAAAACCTGATGAGAATTACTTAAAATTACGTATTCTCTCAGTTAAGTCGTGTTCTGTAAATGTAAGAGTGATAATACGGGGAATTACCTACTACATATTGAAACAAACAAGCGGAAGAAGACTTGAAGATCTTGATTTCGGGGATGCGACTGAACAAGCCTTCTTTGGACACAGAATCTGAGGTTAGCGTCTCTGTCATGCACCATTCGGCTTTACTCTGGCTGAGCAGAATGGTCTGAATTGAGCAAGTGTTCAAGAGTTTAGCCAGTAATTACTGACTTACATTGTCTTACATTGTTAAACCAACTGGTTAATACTGTTGTGGATAGACATATAATGTCATGTAAGAAACTAGCGAATACTATATTGTCAGACCCTGAGCATCCTCTCTATACACAGCTCTCTCCTTGCATTTCATCTGGCAGAACTAGAAGTAACTATAGGAGGCTATATGCTAGGACTACGAAGTAAAAAACTCCACATTAACTAATCTGGCACAGCTGTTATGTGATGAGAAATCCGTTAGGTGTGCCACGATCAACTTACTGTGGCACTCTAACAAATAGTTCCCATTAGTTTTTGTTCTCCTTTCTTTGTTACTATTATATTGTCGCTCACATATTCTATTACACACTAATTTTATATTTCATATCCTGTGGTGCATTGTTTAAAATGTGAATGCAATGCTGTTCTTTTTTATTTCTTTTATTTATCCTTTTTTCTTTTTGTTGTTGTTGCTTTTTATTCTTAAAATCTTATAAAACTTATGAGGTAATTAGATGCAATATTGTAATGCACACTGAAAATTCCATACCTGTACCACAAATACTGTTTGGAATATAGCTATTATTATTATTATTATTATTATTATTATTATTATTATTATTATTATTATGTCTTCTTGATAACGATGTTGGATAAAGTTCAGAGAAACGTCTGGAAAGTGTGCTACACACGCCTAGCCATCGCCTTTTTCCACAGACAGTGTTAACTGACGTAGGATCGAGTTGGTCAAAAGACCAAAACTTGGAGAATCAGTTGATGATATGTTTCACGGTTATTTCCAGCCAACCAAGTAGTGAGGTGTTGACTGCCTGGTTGGGGTCCTCGGGATTCTAAGAACCAGTGGCTTGAAATTATTGATGATATAACTTGAAATCGTCGTCAATGGCTGAGATGTATTCATTCTTTTTGACTTCCTATATCCATTAAACCCTATTTATTTTATCCATTTCACTATTCTTCCTCCTCCTATTATTATTTTGTTATTGTTCCCTAGGGTTCCTAGTGGAACATAGTGCTTCAACTACACTTCTCCACTTGCTTCTGTCTTCTGCTGTACTTTTCACCTGCATCCATGTTATTCCATACTGTTTCAACTCCTCTTCACACGATCTCCTCCATGTCACCCTTGCACTGACGTCCCACTCGCCGCTTCCCTTTCGGGTTCCACTCCAGCGTTGGCCTGATGCGCGACGTCACCCAGCGGTCTCCTCAGCGAGTGAGTGTCCAATCCATCTCCACTTTCTCCTGCATATCTATTGAGCGATTGGTTCTTGTTTTGTTTGTTCCCATAGTTTCTTGTTGGTGATTCTTTCCGGCGGCCATCTGATCTTCAGTATAGAACGAAGACAGTTGTTGTTGATAAAGGTCTGCAACCTGTTGGAAATATTCTTTGTGACCCGCCGTCAAGTTTCTGATCCGTATAGAAGAACTGACTGACTTGACGTTTGTATTGAAAATCCGAATTTTGTTGTTGATGCAGGCTGAGTGACGAAGATTTCCAGATTGGTTTCAGTTTGATGAATGTGTTTCTCGCCTTCCCGATTCTCGATTTGACATCCTCGTCCGTTCCTCCTGTGGTTGAGACAATGCTCCCTAGATAAGTGAAAGAAGTAACGTCTTTCAAATCCCTCCCGTTGATGGTGATTGGCGCTGGATGGCTTCCACCTTCTCCTCGGTAGTATTTCCGTATAAAGAAGGAAAGTCAGAGGCTTTAGGTAGGATTCTCAATGATGCTAGAATTAGTCAGGCTGGCACTTAAACCAACCAACCAACCAGCCCACTCTCTCAGAAATAAACCTGGTCGGCATAAGTACCCGCTGGATATATCCAATTAAGAAAAAATAATATAATTTACCAATTACCATGTAATGACAGTTTATGAGATCAATTACATTAGTCAAATCAGTAGATCAGCGTCAGTCAGATTACTGGAACACAAAAATTTATTTAGACCTAGAATGATTGGTTCTGATAAGTTAAATAACCTAGAAAAAAGCTCAACCATTGCACTGCATTCACTTGCATGTAATCACATAATTAGGGTGGCTGCGACAGGATGAAAATATATCGTCTGACCGCCTCCATGTATATCTATCAGTTCACCTGCTCTTGTGGAGTAAGCTTCATTTGCCGTAGCCAGAGAATGCTTCCCCCACGGATACAAGAACATATTCCAGTATGGTTTTACCAAGGAGAAAAGAAGACTGTGCGAAGCTCTATTCTAGGAAACACTTGATCGACTCCTGTCACTCTACCATCTATCGAATCCGTTATAAATCGCAGTGTTTTCTTCTTTACAGACTTCTAAAGACAAAGGAGGCCTTGTCCATTCATGAATTTAAGCCAAACCTTTGTGTACAAAAGAAGTATGTACAATTCCAACTTCTGCCTTGGCCATAGAGGGATAGACATTTATTTATTTATTTTGTTTATTCAGTTAATCTATGTACCTTTCCCTTATTACTACGATTATTATTATTATTACTAATATGGCTTTGAATTGCTTCCACTTGTCCCATTTGTCATTCTAAATCCAATGTTGAATTCTACCTGATCAAATTTCACACCATGCTACTTATGAAATTAATTGTTTTGCACTTAACAATTAAGTTATGATTGTAGTCACAATGACTAAGTGCACTACTACTACTACTACTACTACTACTACTACTACTACTACTACTACTACTACTACTACTACTACTACTACTACTACTACTACTACTACTACTACTACTACTACTACTACTACTACTACTACTACTACTACTACTACTACTACTACTACTACTACTACTACTACTACTACTACTACTACTACTACTACTACTACTACTACTACTACTACTACTACTACTACTACTACTACTACTACTACTACTACTACTACTACTACTACTACTACTACTACTACTACTATTTCATGTATTCACACCTTGGATTCAATTTTCACAACAGATATAATTTCTTAAACAAAACCATATACCTTCAAGTATTGGTTTTGTAGGGATTTTGTTTGATTGCATGGAGAATTTCATCATGAGCTAACATCAGTTAGAGAACCACTGGAAAACCACTAGGGAGTACTGGACAGCTGTTTCGTCCTAGTTTGCGACTCTTCAGCAGTATGCACCCACCAGCAGGGTTAGAACCCAGGACCTTGTGGTTACAAGGCAAGCTGACTCGTAGGCCATCGAGCCACTGGGACCCGATCCAATGGTCCTTGAATTCTAACTTCTGCCAATTCATGACATAGCGATACCATTTCGCAATGTCTTCTTCGATGAGTTACCGCCTCATCTTCAACCTGTTGTATCCTACTGGTCACTGCTTCCCACTAGAACCCCAGGTTAACTGCCTGTCGCTAGTGAGCATCAGATTAATTTTCAAGTATTGGTTTTCTAGGGATCGGGTCCCAGTGGCTCAATGGTCTACGAGCTCGTCTTGTAACCAGAAGGTCCTGGGTTCGAACCCCGGTGAGTGCATACTGATGAAGAGTCCCAAACTAGGACGAAAGAGTTGTCCAATACTCCCTAGTGGTTTTCCAGTGGTTCTCTAACTGATGTCAGCTCATGATGAAATCCTCCGTGCAATGAAACCATATATATATATATATATATAGGACAAACTGTGAATCAGTTTGACTGAATTGATATGATTAGGAAAAACAGTTTAAACTGGAAGCGTCATCCAGTTACTAATACTGCCACACTGTATGATGTTTGAAATAAACTTATCTAATATGGAATTACATTCTACCATGGTCAATGGTGCAGAGGTAGAATACTCGCCAGCCACTCAGGTGTTCTGAGATTCTATCCCCGGCCGATACACTACCAAACTTCACTTGGCCTAATAATAATAATAAGCCCGGCAAAGAGGGAAGGCTAGGCGTGAGACTAGTAATCCCACCTTTTAAAAATGAGACCACTGCTACCGAAACTTCAAAGCTCTAGCTTGAAGCTCTATTTTCCAGTAGGAACTCAAAGTGTGGTGAGAGATGGCTGCTAGCCAAAATTGGTAGACAGTAATTTACGTCAATGTTTACGTCGTCAATATTTGTCATCAGAAAAATAAGAACAAAGACTGACTCAACAACCAATCACAACAGACTTTGCGTAGGCGGTTTCAACTTGCAGATAGATAATCTGAACTTCAAGAAACGGCCACAAAGAGATGAAAGATTAACGTTCAACGAGAAACCACCAATCAGAAGACTGTGTTTGTTTGCTTACAATAATCTATAATAATGTACATGAAAATCTATAAATATGTGTTGATTTCCTAAATAAACGATCTGTTGCCTGGCCCTTGTCTTCTGTTGTTACAAAAGGAGTAAAGTAATAAATTAAATAAATAATAAATAATAGTTCCCAAGTTCTACACTTACATTAAATCCCCACTACCACCACCACCACACCACCCAGTTTTCTGCTTTTAAATCCCTTTTTCTATCTTTTCTATCTGCGTTTTTGTGTGCTGGATGGAGTGTGGTAACTTGAACTGGCACTTCACTTCACTTCCCTGTGAAAAGTTCTCTCCTGAAACTCAACCAGTGTCAGTCAATAAGGTCAATATGATAAGTAATTAGCTTAGAGGTAGTATGTGCGGCGAAGTTCAACAATAGCGTCCCAGAAGTGTGAACGCTCCAATGACCTTGAACGCATGCTAGTCGTTGGCTAACGGCATCTGTCATTATCATAGCTGAAATATCAACGCTATTCACCAAGTAAGCAGCAAATTTCACTCAGATCATGTCTTTAAGTACTGTTTGGACAATGTGTTAATAGCTCGTTAGGGTTAGGATTAGGGTTAGAATCACGGTTTGAATAAGGGTTATGATTAAGGTTAGGTTTAGTGTTAGGGTCAGGATTTAGCTTATGGTTACGATTAGGGATAGATTTATAGTTGATGTCATTTATTTTAATTTGTTTTATTATCCACACTTTCCTGGTAAGTAGTCGTCGAACCTCTTAATGGAAACCACAGTAATTCAACCGAGGGCTTTTGGGAAGACTGCACAACAAGATAAGAGAGATAAAGGATTCATAAAAACAGCTCATCTTCAGTCACCTCGGTGAATACATGTACAGAAACTAGTCTAACTTAGCAACTGATACTCCTCACTATAACTTGGACACATTTTTAAGTCATGTCAGAAAAAGATACCCTGTTTGATGTGTTTTCATGCATTTTCTTGCAAGTATACGTCATTTTTCATGCAAAAATGCCCCATTTATATGATTGGTCGGCTCAAGGACACACGTGCGTTCGCACCCCTTGGGACGCTATTGTTGAACTTTGCCGTATGTGCCTTGAAATAACAGAATCTGAATTATTCTCATCTATTTGTCAACAAACACTAACTCTTCATAATTCAACCAAGCCATGATCGTTATCATTATAATAATAATAATAATAATAATAATAATAATAATAAGGAATTACATTGGGAGGATTTTAGTGCGTCGGTGGCACAGCGGTGAGGACGCTCGCCGACCATACACATGGTCCGGGGTTCGATCCCCGGCCGACGCCGCACTCCTTTACCTCGCTAAGCCAGAAATAAAGCTGGTAAAGAGGAAAGGTTGGGCATGAAGCTAGCAACCCCATCCCGTAAAAGTAATGAACACCACTGCTACAGAAACTTCAAGCCTCTAGCTTGAAGCCCTATGTTCCACTGGGAACGTGAAGGAATAAAAAAAACATTGGGAGGACAGAAAGAAGGGCACACCTCCGATTTTCAGAACATGTACCGAAAGGTCTACGTCTCAAGGGAACAAATACTTACAATAGTGTCAGTGCCAGACATCTCATCAATACGGGTCATCAGGTGAAGGATATGGCGAAATCCTTTAAAATTATCAACAGACAGAATAGTTCATTTCTCCTCAAGTTTGCTGAAGCAGTCTCTATCAAACGCCTGAAACACGATTTGTGCATTCAGAAAGAAGCAGTTACCAGTCAGTCTTTCTTGCCCATCCGAAGTTTTTTTCGCTTTTATTTGATCACGTGACCTCTGACTTTCACTTCGTTTATCTCTTGTTTCTATGATTTGAGTTGAACTCACGACATTGTTTCATATTATACTCATCATCTTACTAACATCGCATCTTTATTACGTAACTCCTTTATGATTGCATGTCTATATTGATTTTAGTTTTAGACTTTCACTCTCTGGGTAAAAACAATATGTAAAGTGTAACTTTCTGAGCACTGTTCATTAAGTTTGGAGTCTCCTGTCATTAACTGACACCATGTAACATTCGCAAGTATGTAAAAATTGTTCTGTACATAAACTTAATGATAATTTCTTTGAGCTGTACTCAGCTGATGAGAAGCCAACGGAACAGACAATGATGGTACCATCTTCTTATTCTGCACTAACCACCGTTGTTCTTGGTTTATTCAAAATAATAATAAATAATAGAATTTAAATGGTGGATGGTGACTAGCAGCGGAATCCAGGATAACGCGCATTTCGTCCTATTTGCGACTCATCATCTGGATTTACCTGCATTCCCCAGTGAGTGATGATGTTCCAACCACCGAGGCTCGAACCCAGTGCCCATAGTTTCAAACGCCAAAGCACTTCGGTCGAATCAATCGACGGAAAAATCTAAAATTGAATTAAATAATTAATATGACCCATCGCACAAGAGGTGGCCAGCTCTCGTGGCCCAAGTGGTCTAGTGAATAATGTCATCGGCGACTAGTACTTGTCTTCACGCTCGAATCGATATTAGCTCATGATTAAACCTCAAATAAATCAAATCCCTACAGACAAACCCCTAAAAGTTAATCTAATACTCACTAGTGACTGGATATAGGACGAGACTGGCTGGACTTCTCGTGAGAATTTCATCACCAGTTGAGTCCACCAGGTTGGAAGTAGGGACAAATACTCGCCAATGAATGTCAATGAATGGTGATCACAAATTATTAGAAGTTAAAATTTATGAGCCATTGGATTCGGTCCAGCGACTGAATGGTCCACCAGCTGTCCATGTAAATGAAACGTCCTGGGTTCAACCCTAGGTGCAGTCAGGGATGAGTACTGCTGAAGAGTCCTTAACTAGGTTGAAATATCTGTCTAATTCTCCGTGGTTTCCAATAGTTATCTAACTGATGTCAACTCATGCTGCAACTTGAAATAGTATCTTTATGAAAGAAAGAATAAAATAGGCTATTAATTGATATAAGTATAAAACTTGGGCATTGTGGTAGAGCATAACTCCATTATAGATAAGATTTTATTTTGATAAGTCACACAGTGTTGTTATACCGTAATATTAACTGATGACGTTTCGAGCATAAATTATTGCCACTCATAATCATATCAAGTTACTCACACAACTTATTGCTCTTAATACATTTAATCCTAATTCAAAAACATGGTGGAGATATGTGGATTGCACTTTCACTCACAGTGTTAAAAACAGAACATATCTCTAGCTTCTTCACACATATAAACTCACCCATAGAGGGAATAAAATTCACATTTGAATCGGAAAATGAACAAGGAGAATGAACCACGGCGTTAGATTGTAAAATAAAAACGAACAGAAGAGAGTCAACTACACACCAGCGTTTACACAAAGCCGACGCATTCTTCTAATAGATATTTAAACTTTAATTCATCTCAACCGTTAAATATCTGTGAAAGCAGGCTTAGTTATATGTCTAACAGACCGAGCAGTAGCACTAAGTAGTACAAGAAAACACCTAAAGGATGAAATAAAACAGATAGAAAAAGCGATGGTATCAAATAACTATCCTATAAAATTCATTGGGAAGATCGAAAAAGGTCAAAAGCAAATTAAAAATAATTGTGAAACTAGTAATGACAACATAAATAAGAGAGAATATAAGTCATCTACTGTTATACCATATAAGGAGGGGATATCTGAAATCATACCTACGAAGGATTCTTAATAGAGCAAGAAGAAGGGCAGCATTCGAACCTTCAAAC